GCTTGTCGCACGCTAGTGCTGACTCATACGTATCGCCACAGCATAACAAGAACATAACGTCATTCTAATGTTCAAGATTACAGTTGTCATTCAGGTTTACCGGCTGCTGCACGGGAGATTGCACTACCCAATTATTCAATGCTTTGCTGTTACTTCAACATGTAACAAGAGTTACAGCTGTCCTTTTCTCTACAATCAGATATAATGGAAAAATATTGTCGTCCTTACCTGTCTCAAGCAGACTACCCATTGAAGACCGCAATATGCAATCGCTTTTGCTATTAGCTTCAAACAATGCAATGGAGAGAGGAAGATCCTACACGCAAGTCATCGCAGATTCGTGCCAAAAGCGCTTCGGCTTCCTGGTAGATGTGGGCTTATGATTTGTCAAAGTTTTACCAGGGAGAAGTACTTGATGTCTAACTTTTGACTTCTAGTCAAACCATAGCTCATGGCATTTCACCCGTGCCTAGAATAAGACTGTTGAATCTGGGTCCATGCTGTCGAACCCAACAAAGCACACAGAAACTTCAGCATACTCTACGACGCTTACACTGGTGACCCCATCGCAAGACGCACGGTCATCATGCCCGTATTTGGATTCTTTAGCACCTTTGTGTACCGTTTTTTTTTTTAAAATTTGCGCGTCGTCCGTTATTGAAAATGAAGCCAACAACCTTGGACCGAAAAAAAGAAGCCCGCTTTCTTTGTGAGCAGAAGTCGCTCCGTTTGGGGCTGTATCCATTGACCGAAACGTTCGTGAGGGACAATAAGCTCAGTTAATGCCCATGAAGCCGTCTAGCTCGTACTGAGAGATGACGTTCCCCTCCGAAGAGGTTTGTTTCAGACAATGTTATACAGTCTTATCTTTCGTTCCCTTTAGCCGGGTTCGAAAGGGGGGCATAAGACGCAGATGCTCTGTGCTCTGGTAGATACAACGTCTGCGAGCACCGCAGATCTGCTTAGCAGCCTAGTAACCAATCTAGTTCTTTCCGGCGTGGCTAAGGTCTGTCGCAAGTTGGCGCGCTCGTAAAGCTTCGATTTTCAGCACCTTCGGGTGCCTTCGCGGCACGAAAGTTTGACCCCGCACTAATCGCGACGCCCACAGTACCTCAAAAGCGATGGGGTTGAGCGCCAAAAGTCGTTGCAACCGAAACCGTATGCATTTGGGGCCCAAAATATGCATCAGCTTGCTAAGTTAATCTTTCTGTCCGAAAGAACGTTTGACATTCCACCCTCACAGACGACACATTGAGTTTATGGCTCGGTCGTTGCTTTGGTAGCAAGTGCAACTATCAACAACGAAATGCCGTAGGGAGAGAGCCCGTTCCCTACGATGACACTCGCATTAAAAATCTTCTTCTAAACGTACCCTCTGATAGTATCGCTAAGAGCGGCGCGCTCAGAGCGATCAATTACCTCAACGTCACTTTTAGTGAAAGGTTAAGGTCTTCAATATTGAAAACGGTTGTAGCGGCTCTTGAATTTCTGGCTCTACACTCCCCTCACGATAAGACATCCATTCAGGAGTGCCGTTTAAGAGAAAAGAGATATTCTTTTCTTCGAACCTTTCCGCTCCACGTTATACGCACTCCGTACCCACTCTGTGTGGCCAGCAGTGCTGTGGTATTTCGTCGTGGGACTCACAGTGGCTTCCAGCTCGTTAACAATGATCTGGGCTTGTTTTAAGGGCCCAGATTTTCCAATACAATGAACAAAAGTCACAACGACATTTGAAGACCCGAACACGTGGAGCTAGCAGATTTTATTAATTCGAAGTTGTTTACGCCCCCCCCCTAACATGCTGATTTTCCACCTAAACAAATAATGAAATGGCCATTTAAAAATTGTCTTGCGAGCGCTTCCAAATCACACAGAACACCACTCTTTAGAAGTACCACCTGCGTTTTCGCCGCATCATTCCTCTTAATTTGTACCGTACGTGTATACTGTACCTTAGATCCGTACCATTCACGTGAAGTGTACCTTTAATCTTAGATTGCCGAAAAGTATCGTGCTCAATCTGCGTATTGAATGAGGTAGGAGCGCCGCCCCACCCACTTTTCACAGCTTTGTAAGCCAGCTCCAGCTCCAGCGATGCAGACGCCTGACTGATCCGCTTTTTGATGCTTGACAGGAAAATGGACAAAGCACGACATGGACATCAAAATATAATTCCTACCATCTCATGTGCTTGTTGTCAATGACCCCGCTTATTTTCATAAAGCGGCTAGATGAAGGTTCGCCAAGTGTCAAATTTATATCAATGTCAGAATCCACTCGTTAGTGGAAAGCGCGTGGCGCTACCGTCTTCACCCCTTTTTCCGGGGATATAAAGAACGATATGGGCCACGTCATACGTATTTATTGCAAACTTCCTGTAGTGGAATACTAAAATGGTTAAAATTTACAAAATGAGCGTATCATTTACACTTTAGTTCATACTGGTAACTTCTCAGGTGAAATCCCCGGCTCAATAAGCGTTCACGTGAGACGGATCCACCCCTTTGCTCATCGCGCGGTAATGGCATAGAGCGACCCTCTCGCGGCTGAATCGCGTATGCTTTCGTACAAAGAGAAATCATGCAATTACTCCAAGTTTTTCATCATGCAGTAAAATACTGCGGCGAACTAGTATTCCGATGTGCTCCAAGCAACGACATCACAGTGAGTTCCCAAGCGGTTAAAAATTGTATCGGTGCGTTATGGCGTAGGTTGCTCAGCTACAGCGATAGTTCAGACGCTGCTTCGTCCCCCGTAGAAGGCTCCGCATCTGATTGAGGATCGTTTTCTGGCTTGAATGAACCTATCGAACATAGGATGTTTCTCGTGTCCTTCGAGATATTGAGAGCATAACGCAATTCATTTCTGGCATCGATTGTAAGCGATCCGATGAAAAGGGGTCGCAAATTTTGCCTTTGAAATGCTAACACCGCATGTATTTGTAGAATAACGCTAAATAAGACTTTTCACTACTACATAAGCAGGCGTGCGTGGTAGCCTCTGGCATTGGCCCATGATGCCCTTGTATACCGTTGCCCTTCTATAGCGTCGCGGAGTTGGCGCATGACACTCAATTGCGTTAGAAAGTAATCAAAGATCTCGCCACGCTTTGTTGCCAGTCTTCATTGAATCAACAATTTCTTCTTCTCCGGGACCAAACCCAATTTGTGGTGACGTCAAATTATCGTTGGGGTTAAAAATGTGAGCCGTGTCGAGGTAAACTTGTGCTATTGGCGCAAACTTAATGACAGGAAATAACTCGCATTGTCATTCTGGTCTTTGTGGACCGACTGATCATGGTATCCAATGTCGTACTTATCGATGACATCGTTAATGGTGCGGATACAGCCATGCTGCTTCTCAAAAGCATATAATGCCAATATGGCTCATCTTTAGTCATTCAGTCCGATCAGGATCTGCGCTTTACAGCGTTTCTAAGAAATTTTGTCCAGGATTAAAGTTTAAAAAAACCGTGTCTACTTTTAACTATCCCCAGACAGATTGTCAGACGTACAAACCACTCGTGTGGTTAATGAGGTCCACCAAAGCACTTGCGCGGAGGCAGGCACAAAATACCAGGCGCATATATAGAAAAACGAAACGTCGAGCATTAGTGATGAGCTAAAAGCACGCCACCTGAACAGATAGGATGGCCAAAGGAATTGATACTTGCAGCGAGAGTCTGACTCGTCGACAGATTTTGCATGTGAGCGCATGATGGGTACCACTTTTACTCATTGGGCTTCAGCGTATAGCAGTTGCCGAAAATTTCGTCTTTTCTCTTCGAAAAGGTTTGCCCAAACGAGTTTCATGTGCCTCGTACAGTATTCTGCACTTGAGGCCTCAATACCCTCAACGTGAGACGCAGCCACACGTCGAATGTCAAGTGGGAAAGTTCTGTTATGCAGCAAGCCAGCGCTTAGAGCGTGAAATGAGCGCTTTCAAAAAAACATCTTCATATAAAAAACCCTTGCTTTCAAATCTGTTTGCCAACGCAGTACGTGTCACCTATTCAATTGCCATGGTGACGCGTCACAAATCATCGTCGATGCAAGGCAAAAGCGAATTTGTCACCACATTAAGCTACTTCGGTCCATACCGCACCTCATTGGTATAATTGACAGAGAAGGATAACCATCTTGGAAATCAAAGCGAGAGATGTGGTGACGACGTTTTGTGCGCAACGATGCATGATCTGTATAGATCGTAACTGGCCTGATGCCAAAAAGGCGCGTTCTGAACGTTACGAGAGCATCCCATTTTCCATAGCTCCTTATAAAAGATATGGCATTCTTCTCAGCAGCTTAATGCAGGCAAGACTCAAACACGATCACGCATTCATGACCATTCGTATCTGCTTAAGGCAAAGTACAACCTGTTGCAAAATTTAAAGCGTCACCGACGACATGAAATGGCCAATCCGGGTTCAGAAGAGCTGGATTCGGACCCCTCATGATCCGATTTTCGCATTGCCTTAAAGATCGCATTTCTGTCCATCACCATCCGACATTCTTGCCATGAGGATAGGTAAGGGGCCATGTTGCTTCGGCCTTACCACACTTAAGCTGTGCAAGTGGCCGACCGAGACAAATCGCAGCCAGCCACATCTGTAAGTTCGTTTGTATCAGACGCGATAGTCTTGATCATCTCAATACTACCCGTTGACCAGACTACCAATAGTGCATTCATAAAAAGAATTCTGTCGGCATCAATGTTTCACTTGTCAATATTCACAAATAGCTCAGCTAAGCGCATAAACTCAAACACTGATCGCAAGTGTTGATGTTGCTCTTTGCATCAAGCTCCCCGTGATCTGCACGACTATAGGAGAATAACATATCGTTGGATCAGGCTTTAGCACAGGCACGATGTGGCCCGAACAGCTACGCCACAAGACAATTATATGGGAGAATGCCTTGTTCCTAATACATCAGTTGCTCTTTCACCATCCACATTCCAACAGGGCTAGAGGAATAACGATACAACGTCAAAGAACAATGGATCAACAACGGGAGGACAGGCTTGTGCTCTTGGACAAGGCCAGAGACCAGTGGTACAGTAGCTTTCCACCAGTTCGCGACGGCGAACAGATCGATTGGCGTCAGCGCAAGTGGCTTCTACGGACGACGTTCAATGAGTATGAGATCCTCGACGTCGCGGAGGGCAGGCTCCAGATAGACAAACTCAGCACTGCGGAAGGCAAGATAGCTTTTGATCGCCAGCAGTGCAAGACCCAGCGCATGATCGCGTCGGCGATGCCACCACACCGTCTGCAGCAGGTCGACCACTTGGAGACCGGCACTGAGATGTGGACGGAGGTGAACGAGATCTATGAGAGGCGCATGGACCCAGAAACTAAGGAGAGCATCATTCTTCGGAAGTGCGATGATCTCAGACAGCTCAAGTGCTCGCCAACAGGCGATGTGAGCATTCATCTGGCCACGATGTTTAGAATTAGGTCGGACTTGAAGAGCTACGGCTACGACTTCAAGGATATCAACATGAGGCAGATGATGCTGGACAGTCTTCCTGACCTGTATGAGTACGAGCAATTGCGCGGATCAGTGAAGTATGGACGTTCTGCAGAGATGACCCTGGATGAAGTCCGGGCGTTGATTGAACGAGCGGCTGTGAATCAGTCACTCCGCGGCAAGGGAAATCGTGCCACTAATATAGGTAGTGGCCAACGACAGCAGCAAGGAGGCAGCACAGGTGCTCGCCATCAGCAACAAAATGGGCAAAATAAGAGCAAGAATAATAAGCACGGCGATGGTCAGCGAAAACCGAAGAGTGACAGGAAGAACAAAACTTGTCACCGGTGCAATGAGATTGGTCACTTCCAGCCTGAATGTACGGCTATTATCGATGGTGTTGCTGGGCCTGATGCGGTTGCCACCAGTGGAGGAAACACTGAGACAAACGCTGGGACGCAACGGCGTAAGCAGCTCTTCCACTACACGAGTCGCGGCGGCGAAGTCTTTGTGGACAGGTGTGGAGTTGTTGAAGATAAGCAAGGTGTGGCTGCTGGTGTTGCAATGGTCAGTCCAATGCTGGCCTTTCCGGGCACGAAAAATGAGGATGACAAGATGGACAAGTCGCTACCAGAGGTATCGTCATGGTGGTGTTTTGACACAGGTTCCAGTATGCACTTGACCAGTAATCGTGCTCTCTTTGTTCATCTCGAAGAAATTCACCCAGAAAGTATTGGGGCAAATGTCGTTGGTATGGCCGTTTCGACGCTAACTCGTGGGTCCGGCATTGGTCGAGTGACAATCTTCACTCAGGTGGGCGACATCGAGGCTGAGAACTTTTTGGACGATGTACTGTACGTGGAAGGCGCGTCACACGGACTGTTCTCGATGCATCTCGCAATTACCAAGCAGAAGTTTAAAATCTCGTACGATCGTGCAGAATCGATATTCAGTGCATACAAAATTGGGGAGCAGGTGTTTTTTGCTGTATCTCGCAAAGGAATCTGGGTGTTTGAGGCGAAGCGTCCAGCAGATGCTCCGCGACGCCCAGGTGTATCGCGTGTGATTGTCAATTACACGATCGCGGACGGTGTGGCCGCACTCAAGTAGTGGCACAACCGGACTGGACACACGAATGTTCAGTATCTCAAGATCATGGCGGACCGTGGGCTCGTGCGCGGCATGATGATCACGAACAGGCAGCTCAAGACGTGTGATTCTTACCATATTGGCAATCAGAGACAGAAGCGACGTTAGCAGAAGTTGGATCGCCAAGTTACGGCTCCAAACATGATTGTATTTGCTGGTTTGATGTTCCCGCAATAGAACAACGGCTCGCGATTTGTCGCGGTTCTCATAATCATGGATGACTGGAGCCGATATCTCACTGTGTTCTTGCCCACCGACAAGAGTGGAAAGACTGTGAACAAGTACATGCAGCGCTACGTGGTGTTAACGGAGCGCCAAGCTGGTTGTGGGATCACGCAGATCGTCCGGCGTGAGCACGAGCCTGCAGAAAGCGCGAAGTTTCTGGTGCAACGCGTTCTCACAGATAAAGGCGGTGAGTTCGTGAACAAGGATATGATGGCGTTCTATGCGGATCGTGGAATCGAGCACATCAAAGTCGGACCTAAGAGCTCACATCGGAATGCTGTGGAGCGTGCGCTCCAGTCGTTGAATGACTCACGAAGCCGCAGATGCACAAGTCCGAATTTGCTCGTTCGTTTTGGTGGTATGCCCTCCTGTATAGGACTTACATCAAGAACATGATGTACCAACGAGCCATTGATGGGATTCTAGTCTAGCGAATGCTCGGCGTGAAAGCTGATGTAAACCACTTGAGGCCCTTTGGCTCGCATGTGTATATCCAGGTGCCGAAACACTGGAGCGTTCGAAGAGTGACGACAATGCTATCATCGGCTATCTAATTGGGTTCGAAATGGACACTGTTGGCGCACGTGTGTATATTTCCAGCGAGAACACGGTCAAGTTTGCCGCTGAGGTTCGCGTTATTGAGGACGTGACGTACGGTGACCGTCATCACGTCGATCCAACTGACCAAGATGATGGTGAATGGTTACGGTTTGCGACCGAAGAAGTTGGTGAGCAAGACGACACGACTAGCATCTCGAGTGACGACGGCGTGGACATGGAAAACATCCATGAGTTTAGCTAATGCGTCGTACTTGACAACTCGGGGGATGAAGAGACTATTGTCAGTGCTACGGTTGCGTACGAAGCCTCTATGGCTGATGAGGATCGGTCGGCAGACGTCGATGAGGAGGACGAGGACGAATATCACGACAGCCAGAATGTCGGTGTGAATCACCAGGATATGAGTGACCAGGCGGATGATGGTCATGATGATGACGAGTCTGTCTTGTCCAATTTTGGATCGGAGGGGGACCCAGCAGACGAAGGTTCGGTCGCCGATGCGACCGAGTTTGGCGAGGAAAGTAAGCGATCCGACCGACGAGCAGGAATCGACTCACGAGCAGGGCCCGGAAGCCAACGATCATACGGAAAACGGCTGGAGCAAGGACTCACCCGACGGTGACAATGCCGGTGCTGTGTCGGAACCAACCGCCACGAAACGATCCGTGCTTGAGAAGATCGTACTACCAGATGGCTTGCGAAAGCGAGTGGAACGGGACGACACCCCGTCAGAAGCTGAGAAGATTCAGCTTGGATAACGAATGAAAGAATGTCGCACAGGCTTACGCCAGTCGACGCGCCGACCGGCTCGATTCGATGACTTTGTCAGATGGGCAAATGTTGCGACAAAAATATTGG